AAAATCATTTTTAACTTTTCATGTACATATACAGAATGACCCAAAATTATTTGGAAACTCGGGACAGACAAACAGATTTTGACTTTGTGAACATTTACAATATCAAATACAAACATAACTACCCACATAGAAAAATTAATGAGAATTGACCTAATAATTTTGGGACACTTAAGCGAGGCACGTAGCGGTTGGTAAATGAACATCTTCGAATACATTCTCGATAGAAGAAATATTATTATGTAAAGTTGAAGTACGTTGGAAGATTTTTTGAGCAATCACGTTCTTTTTATAATGTACAGGTTCATTCACAACAGAATATTTTTAGCAGAAATGAAAATGTTGCACTTTTCGAGAAATTAAACTTACATCACTGTTGAAATTAATTCATCGGTTTATTATCGATCAATTTTAGAAATTGTTTTCAAAATTGAATCAGTACACGAACAAAATTCAACGGAAGTTGTTTCTCCTTGATAGGAGTGAGCTACAGTTGTAGGATTATATCATAGATGAGGTATAGGAATAAATTCACTGTTACCGTTATTACTATGCTATCATACTCGAGCCGCATAGTATTTTCATGTTAACCCCCTTTAATGTTTAAGTGTATCGTTTGGACAGTAGTATAAACTCTGTGTTACCAGTAGTATTCTATACAGTAGATACTATAAAGTACTTAGAAGGACATATTCTTCTTTATGGCACGAGTGATTTAGCATCGTAGTAGCGATAGGCGGTTTGAGGATCCGAGTTCCTAAGCAACTAGTTGCCGAGGTCTATCACACGATGTATATATACTTCCAAGTTTATGCAGTAATGTATACACAATCGTCAGTTTCCTATCGACATATGTGGGATGTGAAAATGTTGTAAAATGGCAGAGTTATAAATTGGTTTTAGAAATCCGTTTTCCAGAATTCCATCGTTGCCATTGCTGCTGAAATCGTGTATACATAGTCATACATAACCTTGACAAATGTCTTCTAAATATGAACGTTCCTGCAGCGATATCAAAACGAATACATAGCGTTCATTATACAAATTTAGTAACTATTTAAATGATAATATGAAAGTCAGGAATATATTATTTGTTTTCAAAAATAAACGAATGTTTATATTAGAATTGATGACGTATAAGAGTTTTTGTTCAATTGCAGATGACATTTTTTATGGATAAACGTTGCTTCGGAGAGTTGAGGAGCAGAAAGGTTTCGAGCTCAAGCGACAACATTGTATTTTTACAGCTGACAACGCTGTAAATTTTAGACTCTATACAGTGCAATGGCTGACTATTCTATTTCAGTAGAATGTCAGCGATGTTAACATTTCAAATGTGTGATATGAAATCTCATAAGATTCTTGGACTATTATCCCTATACCATGTCTGTGATTATATCATGAAGAGGCGTTTCAATGACCTCAAACAGACACTCTTTCGCTATAACCTTCAAAATATAAGAGATAGGAAAAAATACTTCAAAGAAAATACAAAACTTCAAATAAAAGTTTAATGCTTTTAAAAGAGCAGCATAAACTTTTCGAAAAAGTAAGATAAGAATACAATCTTTTTAAAATTTTGTTGATGCGACATTGTGGTGCTCCTTGTACTGCAAATATTTTGAAAAAGGGGGAATGCATACTTGATTTTAATGTTAATTTTAATACTCTCGAATGGCGATTCGGCTCGAATAAAATGTATCATTGTTCTTGTCTCAAATTCTTCCATATATCATGAAGCATTATTCCAATTTGTGAGTGTGATTTCGAGGTTCTCCCTTGTGATTTGTAACTTTTATTCTGAAAAGAAAGAACTTGAAGTACTTATACTGATTGTTGAAATAGTATATTTCATTCAAATTATAGCAATGAGTGCACTTCAAGCGTCTTTCTTTCAAAAAGGACATACAATAATTTCTGTCTAATTCGCGCACAGATTGCGTGCAAAAATGAACAATTTGGGAAGAGGAGATACGATTATCCAAGCCTTGCGTCCCGTTTTTATAGTTGTTGACAATCGATAACTATGAAAACGAACCGTATCTCCTCTTCCCAAATTGTTCATTTTTGTGCGCAATCTGAGCACGAATTAGGCAGAAATTACCGTATAGTAATCGTACAAGGGTATTACCATCTGAAACAATTAATATTAAAATATTAATTTCTGCATCCGTATTGTCGTTTTATTATCAAGAGAAGGCAAACGCTCGGCTGAAGCCGACAAACAGGTGTTTATTTCTACAATGTGCGATCATTTATAACAGTCAATTTTTGTCGAATGGGAAGCTCATTTTTTTCATATTATATATATATAATATCAAGTTAAAATAATCTTAATAATTATAGAATTCAATAGCACATCAATATATAAACATAAATTATATATATATATCATATATACATATAAATTTTAAATACCTTTCTGAACCATGTTGTTGGATAAAAACTTATCGGGGCATGTATCTGTTTTCATTGCAGATATAATTAAATGATTACAGGAATATAGTTAAATAGTTAAGTATAGTTAAACGAATACATTGTTGAAGACCACCCGTTATGGGTGGTACAAAATTATAATGGCTTGTATATTATATTTAAAATCGTTAAACAATGTACTTAAGTAATAAAAAATGAAATTAAAGTAATTTTGTATAAAATCCATATTCGTCTGAACCGCTCTTAATGTAAATACTGAATGTTACTTTTCACATATTCAAGCTATTGCTAAATATGCATTCTTTTATTTTTATATCAAACAATGATTACCAGATCTTTATAGATACATTCAATTGTAAAATGACTGAATCGTCTCCATGTTTTTTTTCGAGATGACTAAAGAAAATTTATTAACAAACGATGTATTGTAACGATAATAACATAATAATAATTCTGTTATAATTAGAATGTGTTCAGAAATAGAAACATACTTGCACATCCTTTCTGCATTGATACATTTTTCGAAACGTTCCATGTAATAAAGTATTAAGGTGTACTTTCATGGAAATCAAAATAGTTTAGGTTTAGTAATTAAACCTTAATCGATAGATCAACGTTATGCGACATACATTAAATACCGTGTACAATCTACTTGTTCATAAATTAAATTCCGGTGTTTCGACATAAGCACGATGGACAATTCTCGAACGGATAATGTACAATAAAAAGTATAAAGATTCAAATCTTTATTGGCATATAGTCGAGTTTACGTGAACGTATTGCCAATTATCCACCAGTTGTTCAAATATGAAATTTAAGAAATCAAGTATACATAAAAGTGATTTTCTCAAAATAATTAAGAAAATAAAGATTTTTTACAAACTAATAATCATTTGTGTCCTTTAACTTGCTAATTGAATAAATTTTGGATATTATAATATTATTTACATACATTGTTATTATACAGGGTGTCCCATTGAACTCGAGTACCTTAAACATCTTACTTACTATCAATAAAGAAGGAGAAATGTTAAGGTGAAACATGATTAAGTTTAATTTTATTTGAGATTACACTTTTTAAGATTTCAAGCTTATTTGATGATTTTTCAAATGATACCTTGAGCAGCAAAAGTAAATGGAAATGGATACATGTGAAAACTTTTTATTTATTATTAATAATAAACGAAATACTTTATGTACTCGTATTCAGGGCATTCTGTATGTTATGTTAGAATAGGAAAATTTCCAAACGAAGATGAAAACAAAAGCTTATCAGAAGAATTTATGAATAATAAATGTGAGGAATCTGTAAGGTACTTCAACTTCATCGAATAATATTTTTTAATAGCAACTTCGTTTCTATTAGAAGACATTCTTCTAGCACACCGTATGTGCTCCACCCTGTACACATATATGTATTATATATAAATATACACGACCAAATTTTAATGTATTTCATGCACGAACGTAACGAAACGATTATGAGTAAATATTAGCATCCAATATAATAATATTTATTTTTATATCGTCGAGAATATTTAAGAACTCATGACGGAGAAACTTATACGTTGCAGCTTCTTCGTGTCGCACTTTGTTTAAATTCTGATTCGCGGTAAACATGGTGGATTCATGCGTACATATAAATTTCCCCTTCCTTTCCCTCTTCATAGTTGCTAAATTCTCTGTGGATACCGATAGCACCATATCAGGCTACACTAACAAGTCGATTAGCGTTCCTCTCCTTTTTTACTTGAGACAGTGTTCTCGATTGTTTAATTCCAACGGATGGGTCTGCGATTGAATCAATCGAAGATATTAAATATTAAACGATGGAATACAATATGGCTATAATTTCATTTTCTTAAATAAGTTCCCCGAATTTCGATGATCAAAAGCAGTGTTCCTTCTTTTCGAATTGACCTTACATGGTAATGTATAATTTTTATAATTTTGTGAACGGATCACGTAAAAATAATTGTCTTCTAGAAGAATAGTATCCTCGGGAAACTAGTCTACGGCTGGATGATACATTAAAAAATGCTACGAAAGCTATGGAAACAAAGTATATTTTATTACAAAAATTGTCGACATAAAATAATGAGTTTAATTCTTGGTGATCGTAAAGCTTCCGTTACGTACGATCACTCGAGAAAGTTTATGCAGTCGATACTAATGACTAGATCTCGCTACACAACGTAAATTACTCATACACAAAAGATCGTTGAACCTGTTCTTACATAAACGTAAAATGCTACGAAACTGATGGTTGCTTCAACGTTTGGAATGACCTGACTCGGTATACTTTCATTAGCGAATACCACGTTTACTGTCCGTTATAGATGCACGCAACAATCCACCTGCTCGAAAATTATGCAACAACCTTCTCACCTTCATATGTAATATGATCTAGATTCATAATTTTCCGTGACTACCACTTTGTAGGACCTGTGCCGGATGAACCAGCATTTGCTCCGATGAACGGGTTTGTAGATGTGACTATAACAAAAATAGAAATTCAATAAGTAATTAGTCAGCATACGAAAAACTATACTATTACTAATTACGAGCAACACCAATCTCAATGTCGAAAATAGTCTTTGTAGTCCACTACCGAGCCAAACTCGTAGTTGTTTTTCTATTAATGGAGAATGCTACAATTACATGGTACGTATACGGCTCGAAAACTGTCTCAATATTAATCTCGGTTCTTACAACAATTATGATGAATCTTCATCTCAAATATGTTATGAAGAACCAAAATTTCCAATCAGTATCGGTTATTCAGTTATGGTCTCTATTTCAATTCTTAGATGCAATCCATAACAATTATTTTGTTGGCTCTTAAACTGTTATACAGGCTGTCTAAAAAGTTACTCAAAATCGGGAAATGAGGGGTTCCAGAGGTCATTTGAAGTAACTTTCTCCTTAGCACATCCGCAATAAGCGGCTTTGTTTATGAGTTATTAATGAAAAACATTGACCAATGAGAGGCAAGCTCGGCTGGCGTAAGGCCACCAAGCCAACGAGCGAACGAAACACGTTTCCGTTCATTGACTCGATCATCTCGTGCCAACTGATCTCGCCTCTTATTGGTCACTATTTTTCGTTAATAACTCGTAAACAAAGCCGCGGATTGTATTTACTCTAAGGAAAAAGTTACTTCAAATGACTTCAGGAACCCCTCATTTTCCGATTTTGAGTAACTTTTGGGACACCCTGTAAAATCGTTTCTCGTATCAATTTCTCCGTAATTAAGACATCTGAAAATATTCAAGATACCTCAGCCACGTAGTCGAGATAAACAAATCGATATAAAATGTCTAGTATTAAAAATTGTTAGTAATTAAGTTCTATAATTTAATAGTAATGTAAATATTTATTATTGTTATTATATCAGGTGTCCTAAGATTCTCCCTTAAAACTCTACAACTTTTATGGTGTGCAAGTTATATGACTTACCATGTATAGTTCATATCACAACACTTTTGCCTAAAGCTTTTTTTTCAAAATGATTTGATTCCGAAATAATCGACCTAATTAAACTTTTAGGGAAGCCTGTACATGCATACAAAAATTGTTGAAAACCAGTGGTCAATGAGCAATACAACTTGGTTGTATTACATTATACCATTATCACTATGTATGTAATATGTTTACTATGTAGTAATGAAATAGTGTAGATACTATAGTAATAAATAGTTTAAAACGATTTATAAACTAATAAGTAAAAAAGCTGTGTGACAGTATGTGAAAGTATTTCAAGTATTTCCTTTTCTGATAATATGACCAAGTTGTTTTGCACTATTGAACACTATTCACCAAAAATTTCTGGTTTGGTCAATTATTTCAGGATCAAAGTATTTTGGAAACAAATGTATCGGACAAAAAGTGATTATGAACTATACATGGTTAGTCACATAAAAGGCACAGATCCAATCAATTTTAAATATTGAACTAATTAGAAATTGTTAAATACAAACGTTGTAGAGGTGGGGGGGGGGGTGTTGTCATATGGACATTTTCTGTACATAATATAGTATTTAAAATTTCATTGTGAATCGAAAGAATATTAAATTCAAAATAGAAGAATATAAACCTGTGTTGATCCAAAACTTAATGGCTAACGAGATTTCGAGATTTTCGTGTTCCGAGAACTTTGCGCGTTCATCCTTTAACTCTCATAACTCAAACAATTTTCATCGAAAATATATAAAAAATGTTTTGGAAAAAACTCAGAAAAGGACATAAATGATACGTTTTCATGTGAAGCGCTTCCACGCGCTTCCAAATGCTAAAACATTTATGTTCAAACTGTCTTCTTTTCGAGACCACAGCGTGTTTCAGGACTTTTGGAAGATCCAGTGTATCCATACAATTTTACACCGTATTTATTTTTTTTACTATCACTTGAAAATTGAATTGCGCCAATGTGACTTTCTTGCTTCGACGTAAAAAATAAACGACATCTCTCTAAATATTTCTCATTAAATATATCACCTTTGTCCTCATTAATCCATGCTAGATTTCTTAGTGGTGTTGATAATTATATAGTTATAGTTGTTGATAATTCGTACCAATAAAAACGATCCGCAAGGTTCGAATAATCGTATTTCCTCTTCCCATATTGTCTACTTTTGTGGACAGGGTGTTCCACAATTATTTTAACACCCGAAAATGAGGGGTAGCTGGGGTCATTTGAAGTAACTTTTTCCTTTGCGAAAAAGCAATTTGCGGCTTTGTTTACGAGTTATTAACGAAAAACACTGGCCGATGAGAGGTGACGGTGCGAGAGAGAGAGAGAGAGAGAGAGAGAGAGAGAGAGAGAGAGAGAGGGAGTCCGCGAGAGAGTCCGCAGCACGAGGCTTTGACAGAAGGTCGGGACGGACTCGATCCGCGTTCGAAGTATTGAACAAGTCACGAAGCGAGAACGTTCCGGATTTTTTTTACTACATAACAGTGATATTTTTCAGAAAAACGATGTTCACCTTTACTCTAGAACGTCTGAAGAATATTTACTAATTTTTCGGACCCGAAATAATATGAAGTTTAACCGTGACAGCCGTTTTAATTTTCTGGTGTGCATGACACCTCGTGTGTACCATATGAAATTTTTATGCAAGGTGTACAGTGAAGATTAACGAATGATTTGCAAAGCTGATTTAATAATAAATAAAATTAAAAATAAATAATTTATTAGAGAGATATAAAAAATATTATCAGTAAGAAACTCACCTATTTAGTTGAGGATGCATTTGTTGGCTGAAATTCACGATGTCGAAGGGCACTGACCTCGTGCAACGTACAGCTGATCTTTCACTGCACTGTCACCAAACACTGATCACTTAATTAATCACTGATAATCCGAGACATTTGTGGATATTACGAAAGATGACTGAGACGCGTTTGCAGATAATCGTTTATACGACACGTTCGC